AGGTCTACCCAAGGTACATATACACCAAGTATCAAAGCATTCAGACTTGTAGTTTTCAAGAAGAAGTCAAAAATGTAAAACATTGACACAGACGACGGACACCGGACGACGACGGACAATCACTCATATGATAAGCTCCGCTCGACAAAGTCGACAGCGGAGCTAAAAAAACACTAAAAGATCACCCTGAGCAATGTTTTGGAGACACCACTCTTCCATATACTGGTATATGACCTTTGCTCCAAAACATTGCCCTGGATGGGGTATCTATCAAATATGGTACATTGTTTGTCTACCAGAGTCAGTATATGTTTACTTAGATTTAACAGTTAACTATTTACCATCTTTTGTTTCAGTGTTATTTATTTACTTGCTTTACTTTGTAATATGAGAGCAGCTTCTACAAGTTGTTCAATATTAATACCATGAAACGTGTTATTTTAGCTAGCATGTTATTTAAGCTTATCTGAAATTTTGCTAATTCAATTTTATGCAAACCCAATTTTCCAAAGTTTTATGTTGTAAAAGATGACTAAAATAAAAGGATTACAGGGTACCAGGTAAGTAAATACTGTAGATTAAACACTGGGTTTGAATCTCAATTATAAGTTGAATTCATGTGTATCTCACAATTAATACATGTGACTTGATAATACATCTATTGTTGAATAAGAAAATTCTGCGACTTTAAAACCAAGTAAATATTGTAAAACATGTCTTTTTAGCTAGAATTTTATTTTAGCTAAGGCCAGACTTTTTTTATTCCTGTTTCTCGAGTTTTTATAAGGCGATTTTTTTGAGGAGAGCAATAAAAAAATAAAATTAATTCTTTTTTTCCCATTAGATTTGTGTGATTCTCAAAGAATTGTAAGTGAGATCATTGTGAGAAGAAATGAAATAAATTTTTATTTCATGTATTTCATCTGCGCGAGACTTCGCTACTTTGATCATGATACTCCCACGAAAATGCAACTTGGATTTGTTATGCGGCGGGCGAAAGAAAAATAAAGGCAGGCGCGAGAAATTGCGCTGAAATCAAATTTTATTTTTATTTCATTTTCGGCTCCTGTTCATTCGGCGGGTTCGCGAAACAAGGAATAATAAAAGTCTGGCCTAATCTAGCTAATCAGTATTTTTGCTAATTCAAGATGTCGCTAATTTAAAAGAAAGTATATTCTCACAATAAGATAGTGGATACTTTATCTAAATTAATTTGTGCATTGAATCAAATTTACTAAAATTGCATGCAGTTATTTCAATGTGTTTTAGAATACATTGTCTGCTGAAGGCCTTCACTAATAGCAGATGTGAATGGCACACTGTATCTCAGCATCAGCAGGCAATCCATTATCAAACGCTATATGTGTGGGATTTTAATTTTCACATTATCAAAAATTACTCCAGAATATGACAGACCAAATATAATTAAAGAAACCTTAATATTCAAATCTTGATTACTGGTAATTTCATTTTATGCATTAGTATTGGATTACATTTAAGTTAAAAAATTAAATGTTCTTATCAGTACATGTATGTACATGGCTACATTGTACCAACATGTAACTGACATCACAATCAGTGTTATTGTGTAATTGTCATAGTTACAAAATACCTAAGTCTCTCACTGATTTATACAATCAAGGGCACTAAGAGTAGACAGTTTTACTGCAAAATTTTTAATTATTCCCCAAGCTTTATTTTTGGTTCATTAATATATGCAGATACGTAAAAGTGCAAAATTATTTAAACTTGGTGAATATGTCAAATATTGTGAATATCTCAATTTTACCCAGTAAATATTTTTTATTTTCGAAATTAATAGTTTACAAAAAAATATATATATTAATAAATCTCAAATGACAGTTCAAAGTTAGTGCTGTTACAGCATACATTGTCATTAGGTTTTTAAAAAAATGTTTCTGGCATTAAAACATTAAAAAAATAGTGCAATGAATTTTTTCTTACAATTTTTGGCAGTTGTGAGTGGTTATTGTATTTTTTGAGCTGACAAATATTTATCCAAAATACTATAAACCAGATACATGTAGTTTAGAGTAATCTGAAGTATTGTACAGCCAGCAGTCAGTAATAAATATTCTACTACGGTAAATTAGATAATATGTCAATTTCATAACATATTAATCTTGAAAGTGACATTTCATATTTTTATGTAGTAGATTGAGTAAAAAATTTAGAAAAAAAAGAGAAATACAATGTGTATATATATATATATATATATATATATAAATATTTTTAACATTTAGATAAGGACTTCCTGTACACAAAAGCTATCAAATTACAAATATGTACTTTCATTAGAAAAAGTTCACTATGAATTGTATATCCTATTCTGGGTTTCCACTAAGGGAGAAGTTTTAGCTGTTTTGGCTAAGGTTACTTGTTGTTCTACATAGCCTGTTATTATTTAAGTGAGAAAATACAGCATTATAAAAAAGAACAATATTTTTTAGCTATGTTTCTATAATTTTTTTATGTTTAATTTACCTTTCTGTGGGTGATGAAATGTTTTTAATTAATGACCATTTTCTGTTTGAAATGTCTCATACCATTAATGATGAAAATTACACAAATTTAAAATGAATTTGCTCTCGGTGACTGGTGAAGGAGAAGCACAATAATTATCAGCAAGTGTTCTCCCTAGAAACTTAAACCACTGTAGCAGTACAATCTGGTTACAAAATTGCATAAAATTTGCATGTCATTTGCATATTCATATCAAACAGTAATTGTGATAATTAATATACTGATTAAAACATTCAATTACACAATGCACATAATTATTTTATCACAAAACACTCAAACTAATGTGTCAACAGTAATAGTGTAATGGCATGTTATTTCACCTAATAATGTGATGACTTAATCTGTGAATTTGAGTGAATTGGTTAAATTAAAATTAGACTTAATGAACACTGTCAAAATTTTGAAAATGTTACGAAGGTGTTCAAATGTCTTCCTTATTTGGACGATGTGCGTCACATTCTAACACTCAGATGCACTTAGCGTGTTAAGGTAATAGAATCCTGTCACTGTATGCAATCATTGTACAATGTAAAACGTTTTTCATTTCCATTTCGGGCTAGCATCTCATTAAATTATCACAAAAAAAAGTTTTATACATAATAATAAGGCTATCATGAGAATACTGCAAGTATGCATGCAGGCAGTACAGGAATGCATTGACTTCCGCTAAATTACACAAATTGCGATATCTGTAATTTTGAGTACTCAATCATTTTGTCTATTTTGTGTAAACTTTGATTTCATGAAATACAAATGCTACCAGGTAGTACCTATCTAGTTTTTCAATAAACTCCAGTAAAATTTGATTACAATAAAGCTAAAATTGCACACCCATGATCACAGTCTCTCCTCCATCTACATGACCTAACATCAATACAAGTTATGTTCCAGTCATCCACTGTTTATTCTGTGAAATTGGAAATATAGTAACTTTAAATGCTGATTCCTGGTATGAGTTACTAGAATTTTGGAATAATAAAACATCACAGAAACTCAAGTTGATTTTAAATAATAATATGCTAAATGAACAAAGTATTATATATTATTCTATATAACATTCAATAACCCATCTTTTTATGGTAAATCAGGTGTTTCGTTATGGCATGCCACAAGCCCAAATTGACCGTCTACTCTCTGACCCCCCCCCCTCGGCGACCACCCCCACACCCTCCCCCCACCCCCACCCCGCCTACGCTGGTCTCGATGCAGCGGGTCGCACTGCCGAGAGCCTTTTTATTTATTTTTTGGGTCGGTTGTTCCAGGATAATGGCCTGCTATTAAATGCATTTGTGAAACCCCTGGTAAATTGTGTAATCACATGCATGCTAATCTAACATAATGATACAGCAGCATAAGAAAAAAACAGATGTGAACATGTTGCACTGATGTAGAGACTTTGAACCTATTTGGGTATCAGCACAGGTGTTACTAAAAATTATGTAATACTTACACTTTTGTAACCATTGCCAATCCCTCCGGGGAATGTGTAAGTGTTAATAAAATTATTATTATTATTATTATTACACCAGTGTCTTGAGTAAAAACAGATGTAAACATAATATGAGGTGTAAATACTGTAACTTGGCGAGCCTTCAGAACATTTATATATCGAACCAGGAAACACGTTAAACAAAAACCAAATGAAAACATTGCCTTAACCACAGTCCCTCTATCATAGAGGGATTGTGATAGAGGGACTGTGCCTCAACACAATTGTGACAGTTACAGGAGTTCAAGGGTCCATAGATACAGATAACATAAATCTAAACAAAAAAATATCTAGTTATGTAATTCTATTGTCCTTGACAATATTACATGTTGTAACATATGACGTTATGATTACTGCGATATTACTTTTATGTTAATTAATGCACGTAATAACAGATTTACCAGTTACGTAATAATCATAATCTACCCACCATGTTGGAATTGCGTGCAAAGCCATTGTTGAGCTCGTTGAACAAACTAGAAAGACCAGAAAGTTCTGACTCTGGGATCAAGGCAGCAGGCAGTCCTTTGGGAGGAGGCTTTGGTTTCTCTTTTTTGAACGGAGCGTCTCCAAACGCGATATTCTTTCGAGGCGCCATTCCAGGCAGATTCGGGGGGAGTGTACGCGTACCCCCAGACATGGTTGACTTGACAACGCTTTACGAAAGACAGCAATAATCTTTACAGTTTACCAAAATGAACGAGGAAGTGAATTTCCCGTGCAATGGCGTTTTAGTTTGTATTGAAGTCATATGCAAATTAACACCAGTGAGTGGTGATAACGAGAGCTATTTGCATACATTGTGTTTCAACGTCAATCAAAAAAGTTACTCACATTTTGCCCGGCTTTCTGAAAATAATTTTCTGAGAAAGGGATGTTTAAATTCTTCTGATTTGCCACAAATATTTTGTATCTGGTCAGCAAAAAGTTCCCTGAAAGTTTTCAGGCGTTGTTCAATAGTGTGGAAGAATTCTGTCTTTCAACCCGGCCTACTTCCGCTTCCGTATTTGAGCAATACGTCATCAATACCGTACAGCCATTGCTATGACGTTTCCTACATTCACCTGCAGGTAAGTTTGTGATCTCTCGTGCATGTAACTGGAAATATTTTTATTATTATTCTGTAAACTCTGTTGTATTGGGGTTTTCATTTTGATGAGCTATTTGAAGGATGGGAATTGAAGCAGCTCACACGGTATCTCAGTCACAGTGTTTTTCTACTCTTAGCTGTGATTATTATGACGATGCTAGCGTGCCGTTGCTGGTTTTCTTTGCATTGTTTTGTGTTCAGTAGTATTTGACTGTTTTTGTGTGGGGCAGTTCACAAGGTGCCACACCCCCTAAATATACGGTACTTTCAGACGTGTGATTTCTAACAGTGAACCAAGGGCAAGCACCGAATAAAATTATTGTTTTCATTAGCAGATTCATGGCATCGTACATTCTCAGTTCGACCAGGAACGTACTAACTCGAACCACCGTCCCTCAATGCTCGAACACTGCGTATAAGGATAATTTTCGGCAAAATGTAGTACTCCTAACAAAACCAAACGTCGGTAAATAAATAATTAACTGGAATAAATAATTGTAATAATGTTATTAATATGCCATAATGAAAATTAACAATTCATTTTTGATATGAATATACTTCTTGTCACAGCAAAGGCATTCCCTCGTCTTTGTAAATATTTATAAATTTTAATCAAACCAGGTAATCAACGAGCATAGTGCGGTCATGTCCCGATGTTATTGAATCGGCCGATACAAATTTATCATTTTATATTATATATCATGTTTACGTTTTTTCAGAAACCAACTGAATGTGAATGGTTTACACAAAAACAGTACATGTACATCCTTTGTCATGGAAAATTCAAATCTGTCAAGAATACCAGAAAAAAGATATTCAGACTTTGATGATCAAGAGAAGGAAAAATCACACAAGTGTATGAAATTTGACCAAAATGAAAGAAATAGAAATCAAAATAACGCCAGTATGTATGACATGACAAAGTGTACAGAGACCCAGGAAGGTGGAGAATTGGTGAAGAGCGGAAATCTTAACCTTCAGAAACAAATTCCCAGCTCCAGTGGATCAGTAATTTCATGTATGTGTGGAAAAGCACCAAAAACTACATGCAATTTACATGCTGAAGACAGACAAAGCGATCGATATGTTCAGTATACAGAGCTCGAGAAGCTCCATGTGGATGTTGGAGGGTTGAACAATTGTGGAAATAAGAATACGATTCAACGTAAAAATAAAACGTTCCATATTAATGATCTGCCACGATTTTTATTTCTGCACATGCTTACTAATTTCACTGTTCCACAGTTACTGAATTGTGTCAGCCTGGTATGCAAATACTGGTATGAATTGTGTTATGACTCATCACTGTGGAGAGTAATTAATCTGGAAGATTACAAAATGTTACCAGATAAAGCCTTGTTAAAGTTGACTAATATCAGTGACAATGTGATTTACTTGAATGTTAGTGACTGTAGGAAGGTAACAGACAATGGTGTAGTTGCCATGGCGAGGCAATGTCCAAATCTACAAGAACTTGTAGCGATAAGGTAATTTAACAAATTATTATTATTTTTATTAGAGTGTTGGTCCTAAACGTTTTAAGGTAGAGATGCAGGTTCGTGGGCACTTGGGAGTGAAATTCCTTTTTTTTGCTTTTTATTATTCAAAAAGTCTTGGCTATAGACTGTTGAAATTTTGTAGAATTGTGAATAGTGGAACATACTCAAAAAACGATTTTAAATATAGATAACAGGTGCAAACATTATCTCTTTTGAATGCTTAGTATGATTTAGCAAGGCTGTACATAAATAATAAAAAAGAAACATGGTGAAAAAAAGAAATGACGGGATCTCCATATTATGCACTGTATTTAACTTTTTACAAAACGATAATACATTTAAATTTGAAACTGTAACAGCCATTTTAATTATGAGCATTAGCAAACTTCTTACTGAGTGAATTGTTATGCAAATTAGCAATTATCTCAGCTTCTTTTCAGTCCACATTCCAGAACTTTAAAAAAAATAGCTCCTAGACGCTTTGACCTTTTGTTTTGACATTTTCACAAATGATTGACAATGTGTTTATCTTCAAAACGCTGTCAGGGCATTGTTTTTAGTTGAATAGTGTTACAACAATCGTACAGACAACTAGCCTGGGTCTTAATTTATGCATAAACTTGAAGTAGTGAAATTTGAGCTGCTGCCCTACAAAATTGACTGGTAGACAGTTTTCAAGACGGCGCTTTCTTCATAGTAAACAGATGTACCATTAAACCAATTTTGACAGGAAACAGAAGCATGGTTTAGAAGCTAATTTTTTTTAAATCACTTTTGACCAAAAAAGCACATTTTTGTGCATATTTCAAATTACAGTGTCCATAAAAATAAAATACTAACAACACTTTAAAATTCATACAATAAGCTTTCTGAAAATATATAGTTTTGTGGACAAGAGAGGTCATCTTAGTTTCCTAATTAACTAATTAAAATACCTGTCAGGTAAACTGCATCTCTACCTTAAATACTGGAAGACGTTCAATTTCTAGATTCTTTTTTTTTTGCAAGTTGTTAATTTTTACCACCATAAAATTGTGTGATCTTCTCACAAAATTCATGAAAACTTGTCTCCCAACAAATTAAAGCGTTTTACAGTACCTGGTAAATCATATCGATGAAAAGGACCATAATACTGTAAAGGGTGTAATTATTCACTGGGTTTTAATTTTGCTTATTTCGCTGACTGGAAAATGTGCTAAATTAAAACCCAGTGAATATGTAAATTTGAGCATAGAACACATTATCTAAATGATAAAACCGTGAATTTAAAACCCACTGAATATGCCAGAAATGCAGCTAAATTCAGTGAAATTCAAACCCAGTGAAAATTAGTCATTTTACAGTATTCTCTTTGGAAAGTCACCTTTATGACAGACTTGCATATAGGTAAGAGTTTTAATGCACTGTCCCCTGTTGACTTCCTGTTTTCTCATTGATTTTTGTGCTTCTATGCAGGCTTTCAGCAGGCAGTATGTTAAGCAATATTTTTGCGTATTCTCCGTGAAGATTGTTGAAAACAATTTCCCTTTTGTATTTAAATGCACCTTGTTGTTATTCAAAGAGATTCTTAAGATGAACCACAAGGTTTCATCATGCCAAATTTTCATATAGGGATTTCTATATAGCATTCTTTCAGATGCGTAATGTGACATCAGCCAACCCCTGCTGTACAAGACGAAAACACTTTGGACTTGTTATGTACTCATAAGTTTCTTTCTCATACAAGATTCAGTTGTTTTTTGACTGTGACAGGTCTTTAATACAGTATAATGCACATTGTCAGATATATCATATATTTGTCCAAAACTAAAGTTAAACTTATATTTTCAACTTTTAAATTTACGTTTATTTTTAAATTTCAGTCCTGTTCAATATACTTTTCATCAACTTGCTTGACCAGTCTAATAATTGTGTTACATACGCAACAAACAAAACTGTTTGTGGTTGTTATTGTGTTTTTCTGTACACAGATGTACTCAGCTGACTGTTTTGTCATATAGTGCTATTGGAGAATATTGTCATAAATTACACTGTATTAATGTATCTGGGAACAAAACATTCAGCAATGAATGCTTGAAAAAGGTAGGAAATTATGCACTTTCTGATTGTGTTGACTTATTTTTTTTTTTTTTTCCCAAAACTCCTTTTAACTTGGGTTAAAGGGTTTGTAACTTCCAATCACAAAAGAAATTTCCTCGTTAAAGCTTTTTAATGTCTCAGTTTGTAATTGTTGGTAACAGTCAAAGACGCCATCTTTGTTGATATGAGACAGATATCTTCTGCATACATGGTATGACGACCACTGCCCTGTAAGGGTAGAAAGGATTAATGTTTAACTTCCCAAGCTTTCAGAGTAGAAATAAATGACTTGCCAATTGCAGAGTTCCCTTCAAGTCAATTTCATTAGTGAATGAATCTCAGCCTCCCAATTTCCGGTTGACCTTTTGGTATTCAACCAATAGGTACTAGGATTTAGACTGGGAATCATAGATCCGGTGCAACTAATACTCTATTACTACTGATTAATTCCTGGTACTATAAGATTGTAAAAACAATTCTAATTGGACTACCAGTCCTGTGAACACATTAAGTATTCACTGGTTTTTAATTTGACTTTTTCACTGACATTTGATTTACCAGAAATTACCAATATAATTAATAAACATTTTCCAGTGAAACAATTTAATTTCACTGGAAAATCTGTGAATTTAGAAATATGATCAAATATTCAAAACTGAAATTAATTACCTGTGACAATTAATTTACAGTAAATCTGTTTTTTGTTTCCTTCAGATTGCCATGGGTTGTCCTGATTTGACAGAGATCAGATTAAATAGTTGTATTAATGTTGACGATGATGGTATAGAAACATTGGCACATTTTTGTCGCAAACTGAAAGTTGTTCAGTTACTAGAAAACAGAAAGGTAAGTTACTCTGATCTCCTTGATGATGTTTTTTTTTGTTTTTTTCACTGTCTGTTCATTTCATACATTTTCGTCTGGGACATCAGGGTGTCATACAATGAATATTAACTAAACAAAAGAAATGTTAGTAATGATATTCTCACTAATAAATTGAAGTACCTATTCATATTTCACCTTGAAAGTGTGTATACCAATCATGCATACTGCCCTCTAGTGGTGGAACTATTACTTTAATACTGCCAATAAATTCTGTAAACATGTAATTTACCTCTTCAAGTGACACTCTAGTTGTAAAACTTGCTATCGATAATTTTCAGTTATTATGCATGAATGAGTAGCCGCACCAATCATGTCCAAGCCTTGACTCATTTCTGCAGTTGATGGCGTGCTTGAGGAATCCTGAATCAGTCTAAATCTGTAGGATTTCACATTGTTTAATATTTTATTAATCGCTTATCTGGTGCAGCCCCAAAACGGGGATTAAAGGATTGTAAAATGTCCATTGGATTGAGTGGGTGTGTAGATCAGTGGGCTAGTGGATAATTGTACAATGTATTCTCTATTGTGATAGATATGCTACATTAATCTGTGATTTGGATTGGGTACATTGATGACGCAAATGAATGCCAGATTTGATAATTTTTGCAAAGGGTGCCCTTTCTTGACATCGAATAAAAATAAATCTACGAGTGAAAAATTACATGAATATAGGTAACAGAATACATTTGACATGCATTGTACATTATTTGTATACAAAACTTGAACTAAGATTTCCTTGTTTACTAGATTTGGATTCTCAGTACTCATAATAACTAATTTCCACGAATACTATTTTATTTTATGGCCAAATAGTTTTTGTCATTGTTCTAATAATAATCATGAAGACTGTTCTGTGAGGAAGGTAATGCTGAGTCATTTGGACAGAGAGCAATGTCTTGAAATACATACTGGATACTGTTTGTAATTCTTTCGGATTGTCATTTTTTCTGTGATGATTGCTTTCTATGTGTAGCATTGATTCTGGGTCACTATGGAATTTGTTTGGTGATTTGTATTTGGTTTGAATATTTTTGTCCTTTTCCAATGCATCATGCCAAAGAGCCTTGTTACATACATTGTACTGCATACAAAAAGTATTGTATGCATTGATGTACATGTCTGTTACTGTACTTTACAAATCAAGTATTGATATTTTTTGTGATAGGTCACTGATGCTTGTTTACCTTCACTGACCACAAAGTGTAAACTATTAGAAATACTGTGTCTGCATGCTTGCAGTGTTACCAGCAAAGGTGTTATGGAAGTGGCAAAAGTAAGTGCAATAGTTTACACACACACACACACACACACCCAAATTTCAAGTGAACATTTCTGACAATGCCTTGGACTGATTTAAATCTGGTTTCTGAAGGTCTTCAAAACATTGAGGTGGAGAATGCTTGGCCTTTGTGACCACTGAATTTGGGCCACCAGATATTTCTTTTTGCATAACATTTTTTTTTGAAAGACATTTGACCTTATTTTTTTTGTTTTTATTTTTCAGTGTAACAATTTAACAAATCTTGATATCAGTGCTCTTTCTAATGTAAATACAAAGACAATTAAATTTGTGGTACAGCAATGTAAACAGCTGACGACATTGAATATGTGCTTGACTAAGCAAGTTGATGATGAATGCATTAACTCAATTGTGAAATCTGCTAAGAAGCTCAGAGAACTGTTCTTGGTATCCTGCTCTGTTACAGATGAAGGTGAGATTATTGATTGTCTCTTTTGGCTGTTTATTTATTTATGCAGATAAACAACAGTTTCCATCTTCTGAATGACACAAAATTCTGTAAATTGTGTCATCGTCAGTGAAAAACTACGAAAGAGTAAAACTTCAATCTTGAGATCATTAGTACAAGAGAATTAGTGTCACCGTACTCATCATAAGCCCAGGAGCCTCAACATGCAAAATCGGGGAAAGTAAGGGGTGGACCACTTCAGAAAAATTGATTTTTTTTATTTAACTTGGTAACCATCTTACCACCCACGAAAAATTATCCAAAAAACAATAGATTTTAGGCGACTAATCCGGCCAGCATGTTGAAAGTGTTACGAACGTGTTCTAAACGTGTGCAATGGAATCCTGTCACTGAACGCAAATAATCTTACAATGTGAAACGTTCTTCGTTGCTATTTTGGCCTGTTATCTCTTAATAAATAATTACTACTAATATTATCACAAGAATATTGCAAAGTATGCACCCAGGCAGTCAAGTAACCCATCAACCTCCACTGTGCATTGGCAGATATGATCACCATACTTGCGCATATTTCATGGTATTCTCATAATAACCTCATATGGTAAATAAAAGACAGTGCCAAAGGATTTTTTTATTTTTTTTGAGTAGATACATTCACTGAGTTTGTTTTATTTGACAGCATTGATCAGTATTGGAAAGCATAGTCACAGTATCACCCATGTAGATGTTGGTTGGTGTCATGGAATCACAGATAGAGGAGTGAGAGAAATCTCATCAACGTGTACACAACTTAAGTATCTAGGACTGACACGTTGTGATCAAGTACAGCACAGCACAGTAGAAAACTTGGTTAAGCAATCACCTCATATACACTATAGTACATTCTTGCTGGATAGTAAGAGATTGCTTGATGAGGCAAAGAAAAAAGGATTCGTATTCAATTCAGGAAACGAGGACAGCCAGTGATTCCCTGTGTTCAGTTGAATCTTGTTTAAAGATGTTATTTGAATTTTTCCAGAACTATGAGGATGATTGGACCATGTGACATGATTACTAACAAAGGACCTGAGATTGTTTCTTTGTCTTCTGTGGTGAGATTGATTACCGGCAATCCAGAATTGTAAAATGCATGAGAATGTCTCTGCAAGTCAAAAAAATGGGACTGTTTTGTTTACACAGTATTCATGCTATAATCCAAGCTTGCATATTATCAGAATTATCCAGTTTGATCAGAAACTTATTCAAAGTCAAACATGTGTATAGTGACCATTCAAATGTCTTTATAGACAGGTGGTCTTTATATAGAGATGGTCACTATACACAGGTTTGACTATATTTAAATAGCTCCATTTACTAGTGGTTGATTATTCAAGTATGCTAGAAATATCTTCATTGAAGCATTCTCCAAAACTAGATTATTAGGATTAATTTAAGCTGGATTAAATTGTGTTCAAGTATTGGGGCAACCAATTTGCAAACTCGCTAGCGAATTGGCTAACTGCTTGGGTTTTGACTTAACAGTTGGCTTTCGAATCTCGCTGGTGCCGACTTGTGATAGCACCCACTCTGGACGAGTCTATATTGCATTAGGGGACATAAAATGCTTTTACTCAGCCTGGTATTAAA